AGTGGAGGAGTGGGGAATCAAACCCGGCTCTCCCAGATTAGAGTCCGCGCACTTAACCACTACACAAGGATTGTGAGGCACTCCAAAGGGATCTGTCAAGGATGGGCAAGTGGGCGTCAACATGGCAAATGGGGTTCAGTGTGGCCAAGTGCAAGGTGATGCACATTGGAGCCAAAAATCCTAAATATAAATACACATTGATGGGGTCTGAACTGGCAGAGACTGAGCAAGAGAGAGATCTTGGAGTTGTAGTAGATAACTCACTGAAAATGTCGAGACAGTGTGTGACTGCAATAAAGAAGGCCAATGCTATGCTGGGGATTATTAGGAAGGGTATTGAAAACAGATCAGCCAATATAATAATGCCCCTATATAAATCAATGGTAAGACCTCATTTGGAATACTGTGTGCAATTCTGGTCACCACACCTTAAAAAGGATATTATAGCTTTGGAAAAAGTGCAGAAAAGGGCAACTCGAATGATAAAAGGGTTGGAACACTTTCCCTATGAGGAAAGGTTAAGGCGCTTAGGGCTCTTTAGCTTGGAGAAAAGACGACTGAGGGGTGACATGATCGAGGTTTATAAGATTATGCATGGGAAAGAGCAGGTAAAGAAAGAGGTACTTTTCTCCCTTTCTCACAATACAAGAACCCGTGGGCACTCCATGAAATTGCTGAGCGGTCGGGTTAGAACGGATAAAAGGAAGTACTTCTTCACCCAAAGAGTGATTAACACATGGAATTCACTGCCACAGGAAGTGGTGGCGGCTACAAGCATGGACGGCTTCAAAAGGGAATTAGATAAGCATATGGAGCAGAGGTCCATCAGTGGCTATTAGCCACAAGGTATAGCTAGGGGCTCTGGGGCAAGTGATGCTCTGTCTTCTTGGTGCTTGGGGGGGGTCAACAGTGGGAGGGCTTCTAATGTCCTGGCCCCACTGCTGGACCTCCTGATGGCACTGGTATTTCTGGCCACTGTGTGACACAGAGTGTTGGACTGGATGGGCCTTTGGCCTGATCCAACATTGGCGTCTCTTATGTTCTCTTAATTAATAACAGTACTATGTAAGACATTTTGTAACATGATCATTAGCAGAGATGAGAAATCCTGCCCTATGGTCTCATTAGCATTTTTGGCCATAATTTCCACCTCTGAGATGCTTGCCACAACCAATGCTCCCTCTAGGCTGTGGAGTCTTGTGAACAAAAATACCCCTTTGTGAGCTACTGGCATTAAAGTTGTGAGCAAGTGTTTTGGCTACTGCATACATTAGTGTGCTCTGGAGCTCTCTTTCCTGAGCTAAGAAAGAATGTGTGAGCCAGAGGCTAAAAATCTGTGAGCTAGCTCACACTAACTCA